TGAGGTGAGCTGCTGAGTGTCCCCAGCTCCGCCCTAGATGCCACCGCTGCTGATGCTGCTACTGAAGCTAACAAGGCCCTAGGGAACTGGTAGGCACCCTGCCTGGCCCCAGAGCTCCTGTGGGCCTCAGCTCCCAGCTCTAGAGGCTAGCCCTCCTGCAAGATGGATGCCTTTCCCACCCCAGCTCCTCAAGACTGCTCCCAGCATCTGCCCTCAGGCAACCCTGAGTTCCATGTGGACCCCGTGTGCCTGTCCAGGCCCCCAGAGAGTCCCTTCCCACTCATCCAGAACAGGACCTACAGCGCAAGTGGCAGGCCCTGGGCCCAGGTGGGAGAATTCATTAACTTCCTCAGCAAAAGGGCACAGCTGTTGGTTTAATTGCTGCAATGAAAAGGTTTCCATGAAACCCAACACCGGCCCTCCCCACAGAGAGAGTAGAGACTCTTGAACCTCCGCAGTCTCAGAGGGAATCAAGGCTGGAGTCTTTAGGGAGCTGGGGCTCCCTGGGCGGAAGCCTCCCTGCCTCCCCTCTGTGCACCTGCGCACTGGCACGCACAGGTTCCAGAAGAAAGCACGCCCACCCGACCTACCCAGTGGTCCCTGCGCAGGCACAGGTGTGCCTAGCTGCCCTCCGTGTGTTTGGTAGCGGCTCACTCAGTCTAAAGTTCAGGCGCACTGCAGGGGGTTTTCAAACTCTTTTTATCTCGGACAGAAGTATTTGTCAGGTAAAGCCTTAAAAGCACTTGCCAGATATACGGTAAGTCTGGGCACTGAAGAAGGTGGGAGATCACGGAGCCTTGGCCACTTGGCCTCTCCTTCCCCGGCCTAGGGAAGATGGCTGGAGTCTGAGTCAGTCATTGCTTCAGAAAGCTGCTGCCGCCTAACAAGGGTGTCGGTCAGGCGCTTGTGCTTTCTCGAGGGTGGGAGGGTGAAGGGTGTTTCCCCAGACCGCATGGGGCAGCACAGCTGACTCTCCTCCACCCTTTCATCCCTGTGTGGCCCTTCTTCCACCCCAGAATTCATTGGTTTGTTTGTCTGTGTGTTTTTGAGATTTGTGGTTCTCTCTGCTGAACTTTCTAGCTTCCTAACTGGTGTTACCCCCACACCCAGAACTACAGAGCGAGGGAAGGGACTAGGTGCCTCCCCCCGAGGTTCCCAATATAACTGGTACTTCTAACGGCCTCACCAAGCTCTGGGTGGGAAAGCAGAGTGGAAAAAACTGGAAAGGAGGACCAAGGCAGAGGCAGCCCCAAGAAATAGCAATGCTTCCCAAGGACCCCCTCAGAGTCCTCCCTGTCCATGGCCATCCCCGCTCCCTCACCCTGAGGGAACGCATGATTCCAGAACCTGGGCTGTGCCAGGCAAAGAAGAAGTGACATACATTGCTTTCCACCACCGTCCCTCCGGCCTGGCAGGACACCTGACAACCACACCACTCTCAGGCTCCAGCGAGGCTCCTTCCTTGCACCTCTTAACTGTTCACCATTCCCAGAAGAGGCCCCCCCCCCCCCAGTGGCTGAGCCACTCTGAAAGCTCTGTTCCACCGATTCAGCCAGTCAGCAACGTCAGGCCTGCCCACGGGAGGCCTCTGCAGGCTTTTGTTGGAGCAAAGCAGAGGCAGCTATGCCAAGCAAGGACCAGGGAGTCCCAGCTGCCAAGGAAAGCCTGGCGGTTTTCTACAGTGGCTTGTGCCAGGAGCCTTAGAGGTCAGGGACCCCCAGCACACACCATCTGGGATGCTAAGTGTCTGCAGGAGTGCTGTCATGATGTCTGGTGGCTCAGTGCCAGGGCTGTCTCCTGAGAAGACATCCTAATGCCCCAAAGACGAGACAGCGAGCATTAGATGTAAGTGTCACCCTGTATCAGCCTTGGGGTTGGGTACAGCCAGGGACTCTCTCACCGAGGCTAACTGGTATGTTGCTTCCTGGTACCCAGGATAATACCTGCTTGAACTCCTCTTGGATGAACAAGGGTTAATGTCACTGGTGCCCCATATTCTCCTGGCTTGAATCAAGAACAGGCGGGCAGGTTTCCATTTCAATGAGACATTGACTCACCAGATTCAGAATGGGCTGAACAGGGTACCTAGCCACTATGCATCCTGAGCATGAGAAGAACATTCTCAACAGCCCTGGCTACCAGACAGACCTACAGCAGCTGAGGCTCCCCAGCAAGATGGCTGACTTGAGGTCCGTCAACAAAGGCCTGGATGAAAAGGCCCTCTTCCGAGACATTCCACTTCTTTCTAGTTTTAGGAAGAGGACCACCCACACCCTTCAGTTAAGGGAGTAGAGCTGAGACATTCTGGGGATTCAGCTCCTAGCCTTCTAACAATCCCTAGATCTTTGGGGGACTTTCTCAGGCAAGGAAAGTGGAGAGGAGCCAGAGAGGATGGGATTGGATCTTTACGGCCTGTGTTCAGCACACTGTAATCCCAGAACTAAGTCTCCCCCGGGCCAGGCATGGGTACCTTGTATTTGCTTCCCAGGCTCTCTGACCTTCTGTCTTTAGGAAGCTTTTATGACAGATAAACTAACTTGGAGACAGCTTGTGGAAACAGACAGCCCAGCCCAGAGGCTTGCAGATGATTGGATTCTGAAATGGGAGTGCAATGCAGAGCTGAATGCTGTACTGATCCGGATCTCAGAGGGAACATCAGACAGTCTGATGTCCAGCCTTAGGCGTCATACTGAACTTCCATGACTGAGGAAGTGGAAGGCCTGAATCCTAAGGAACCCAGGGCAGCCTGGGCCCAGCTCTGCCCACCGCTTTCCCTGGGTTGCATCACAACTGCTTTGCAAGTTGCCTGAGTGGCAAGGACAGAACTGAAGACTATTAGTGTCCTATGCCTGCCTTTGTCCTGAATAATGGCTAAGAAATGCCACCATTCCCCGGTCTTTCTGCTTGTTTTGGTTTTCGGATACAGGATCTCACTACGTAGAGCAACGAGGTTGCTCTCAGACATGAAATAAGACCAGGCTGACCTTAAACTTGTGGCAATCCTCCTGCCTCTGCCTCCCCACTGCTGAGACTATAGGCATGCAACACCACTTCAGGCTCCTGGTCTTCTTTGAGGTCACTGCCCAGCCCAAGGCTGACCCACAGGTATCTCTGATTAGCAGAAAGCAGGGAACCTATATTCTGTGCAGACCCTCAAAGTCTTCCTGTGGCCCCCTCCTTCCTCCTTGGTAAAAAGGTAGGCTCTAGCACCGAAAGACAGGAGAGCGTTTTTTCAGCACCTGGACAAGACCCTTTCCTCGCAGGGTCTTCCCCCACTTCTGGCTCCGGAGCCTAGGCCTGGAACTGAGGCATCCGTAGATTTAGTCCACTCTAAGCAAACAGGGACCTCGTTCACCAGGAAGTGAGAGGGCACTGGGTGGGGCTGGGATGGCTGAGAGTGCTACAGCGTTTGTTCCCAGATCTTGTGTGGGCCCCCTCCCCACGCAGGCCTTTCTTATCTCGGCACACTCACACGGGGATGTCATGCCTCGACCGAGTGGAGTGGACTCTCCCACTACATGGAGCACGGATAGAACCGACAGCCCCTCCCTGCAGTCCCTTAAAGCCCCGACGGAGGACAGCACAGGGTCCCCCCTACACCAGTCTCAGAGGGCCTGGAACGTGTGGACCACCAGTCCTGGAACCAGGGGTGCATGCGGGGACCGCTCCCATCACCCTCGTCAGGTCAACAAGCACAAAAGCCGCGGCTGCAAACAAAGAAGCGCTGCAAACTAGCCGGGGAGGCGGGACAGGCGGCGCCGCGCCCCCTCCCCACGCCGCGCGGGCGTGCCGGGCCGTGGTCCCCCGACGGCGCTCCTACCTGGCCGGCGCGGACCTCCTTCTCCAGCTCGCGGTGGCGATTGTGCCACACGAGGAAGTGCAGCGGGTACTTGCCCTCGGGCCCCTTCCTGGCGGAGGCGTTGGCGGGGATCATCGCCCGCTCCTCATGCCGGGGCCGCGGCGCCCGGCCCGCGGGGAGGGACGGCGCGGGAGCCGGGGCCCGGGGCCGCGGGGCGGGCGGCCGGCGCTGTCTGCTCGCGGGGCTGCAGCTCGGGCATGTGCGAGCGGCGGCGGCGGCGGGCGGGGGCGGCGCGCCCGGCGTGGTGCGGGCGGCGGGCGTCCTCGGGAGGCGGCGGCGGGCGGCGCGGAGCAGCCCCCACCCGCCCGGGGAGGGAGCGGGCACTCGGCGGCACGCGGCCTCGCGCCTCGCCTCCCACACCCCCGCACACAAAGACGCCGCTCCGCACAGAGAGCAGGGGCCCGCAGCGGGAGCGGGGGCGCACGGGGCGCCGGCCCCGGGGACGCCGCCGCCGCCGCAGGGACGCACGCCCGCAGCCTCCGGTTACCCTAAACCGCATAGCCCGGCCCTCAGCCCGAGCGGCCGGCGAGGGATGAGCGGATGCGGGAGAGAGGAGGGGACCCGGGGTGCCCGGAGCTGGGCTGGTTACAGCTTGACCCCGCAGCATCATGGGGCTTGTAGTCCGCTTGGTGGAAACGAGTGTTTCGGATGACCAGAGCCGGTCAGGAACCGATTTCCTGAAAAGGTGGACTGAGAGTCAGGCCTGGTCGAAAGGGAGACCTTACTTTGCTGCCAGGTGGGTTGGGACGCGCCTCCACCTGCTGGCATTTTGCCTTTTGCAAAGAAATGGAAGAGGCTTACAGGCCTGGCTTGAAGGGTTGGGGCAGGGAACCTGTGGCCTGCAGAAGTAAGGTTGGGTCCCAGGGAGGGTGAGAAGGCATCTGGGTTCTTAGAAGATACTGACTAATGAGTGGGCTCCCAAGCGAGATTCAGGGCGTCAGTACCAAGGGCCATTGAAGTAGCCAGGGATCTGATACTTGAAATGTTTCTAAAGTCTTTTGCTCTTTCAGAAAAGTAAACCCCATCCTCCACATTGGAAAAGATTGTCCAACGGGGCGAAGAAGACTGTCCTTCCCCTACATTGCTCAGCAAGAACCAGGATGACGTTGAGCAAAGACAGCAGCAGGTGGCAGCTCCCCACCTCCATCCCACGTGGGTCCCTGCCCAAGGGAAATGGCTGAGTCCAGATTGCCTCCTTCCTGAATGACCAGAGTAGATGAGCCCTTCCACAGGATCCCTTGCAGAGAGTGTGGTAAAAGTGAAAATGGCCTCTGTGGTGGCCAACTGCAAATGTTAAAAGGACCAAGATGCCCTGAAAGAGAAAACGGATCATGGTGTCAAGAGACTTGTGTTTAAACACCTCATCAATAGCTTGATTGTAAGCATATTGTTTACATTTCTGAGTTTCCCAGTCCACTCACCTCTAAAATGGGATTGGATGCTACCTCGGGGAGCAGGGGTGAGCTAAGGACAGTAACTGCCAGAAAACTGGTCTCTCTCCTTCAGCCAGGCTGACAGGTGGCAGGAATGAACGTGTTGCCTTCCTTGAGCCCACCTTAACCAAGGCAGAAGTAAGGGATTCCTCGCCAAGCCAACTCAGAACAACAATCTAAAGAGTGTTTGTGTGGGAGGTGCCAGCAAAAGCTTGCAAACTCCTGGTGCCTCCCTCGGGTTTCTTTGTGTGGTCTTCTCTTCTGCCTCCTGCCCAGCCAGCGTTGCCAGGCCCGGGAGGGCTGAGGGAGGAGCTGACTGCCTCGCCCCTTTCTGCAGCCTGGGAGGAGCTGGCAGGCGGCTCCACAGCCCAGGTCCGCTAGGGGCCAGCAGAGTGTCGTGACTGCAGACCGAGTTGAGGAGGGGGCTAGAGTAAAGGCGGAGCTTCTAGGAGAGGCCTCTAGGCTTGTACACTACCTCATTAAATCGTTTTCAGAACCTTGTGTGTGATTCCACTTGAGCTGTGCCCAGAAACCCTTCTATCGCCACCTTCAAGCACTGAATCTTGGCTGTGGTGAGGTTGGGGGTTCTGGAACAAAGTTTGGACCGTGAGTAAATATTAGGGTCACTCCCAGGCAGTCCCTGAGCTAATAGGAAGATGGAGCGACAGGGTTAGGGGGCCGTGAATCATTCTTCCCCTGAACAAGTCTGTAGCACAAGAAGGGACCGAGGTCAGCATGCATTTGGAGGAACTATTCTTTGGGTAGCTAGGTTCCCCTTTTGCCAGATGGTCGTCTACCGACACTAAACCCAAGTCGCTTTCCCTTTGGTCTCTGCGCCCTGGCTGCCACGTGCTCGAGACGCACCCACACAGCTAGGAAACAAAGGCAGCCAAGCGACAGGCCTGCCAGCAGCCGCCTCGACATTTAATAAATGAAATTCCATAAATGGGGGTCGATCTGGGGTGAACGGGCGGCCACTGCTCCTGGGCTGCACGCCCAGTTTCAGCTGCCAGGCTGCTTCCCACCTCCAGTGCCGGGGCCACCAAGCCTACAGACTCTTTGGTAGGAGTGAAGCGTGGGGTGGCATCACCGCCACCTTCGAGTTATCTTTGCTGGCAGAAGCCCCACCTGCTGAGCTGCTGGCTGGATGGGGGAGGGGGGTGTCTGCAAGATTTTTTTTTTCTTCAGGTGAGATTATAAATATATCCTGTGGATCGCAATTTCAAATAAACTTGTCAATCTGGGTTACAGCAAAAGGCGATGGAACTTTGCGTGTATTTTGGGTGGTGTGACTCATAAGCATTGCTTGTCTCCCCTAGGGAAGGAGCCTGCCCACCCACAAGTCCCCGCTGCTCTGGCACTGCTGGGAGCAATCGACCCACTCAGGCACCCCTATCAAAGGACTCCCCCAAACCCCCGTTCTAGAACTGAGCAGGAATTCCTGACATCTAGGAAACTCCCCGTAACTAATGTCATCACTGACCTGCCCCCTTCTCTGTGTCTGTCGTGCCCCCCCCCCAACACCTTGTGCATTCTGCCCACTCCACCAGCTGAGTGCTCTGACAGCCCTTTTGCGACTGTAAGGATGGGGGCTGGGCGCAAACGGGTCACACGTGTGGGGGGGAGCATGCTCAGTGTGGGGTGCACCCACGTGCAGCCTGCTCTTAAGCTCCTAGCCCCCCTCCTCCTCCCTTTCCTGGCTATGAGAAGTCGCCCCCCCTCCCCCAAAAAAAAGGTCCTTACAAGAATTGGTTCCTGTATGTTATATGCATATGCTCTGAATACATACACACCCGTTGGGCGGCCCAGAAACATCGTTGATGCATACAAAACAGAGCAAGCTTGGGCTGGTGCACACAACACTGTGGTCACTCTTAACCAGATTCTTTGCTTTCTTGTTTGAAACAAGGATGGTGTAGTTTTAGTCCGGCAGGCAGGGAGTCACACTTGAGTGACCTCTCGGGCACCTGGCCTTCCATATTGGTGGTAGCGGGTGTACTTAGCGGGGATGTGGCCACAGACCCACCTGGACACTGACATGGACACAGAGGGGACCAGAAAACAAACCTCACCCCATCCCAGCCTCTGACCGCAAAGAGCAACGTGCCTGACGATGCTTCCTGTCTGCCCCAGTGCCCACCACGTCCTTCTCTCAGCTCCTGGACCACTCCCCAATCTGAAAGTGAAGGTCAAAGTGCCAACGGGTGTCTGGGTTGCAGAGCAGGCAGGAGAGGGCCGCGGCTCCTTTAAGAGCCCCCGTCCACACCGGCCGGCGCGCAGGCTTCCTCTCTCCTAGAGGCGCGGCCTCGGAGCGGAGCGGCGGGGCGGGGTGCGTGCGCCCCTCCCCCGGTGGGCAGGGCCTGCGCTGCTTCCTGCAGGAGCGGCCCGGGCCGCGCAGGGGGCGGGGAGAGCGGCGAACGGCGGCGGGGCGGCGCGGGGCGGCGCGGGGCGGAGGGCGCCCGAGGGCGAGCGGGCGGGCGGGCACGGCGGGTTCCGGGCCAGCCCCGGAGGCGGACGGTTGGCCGCGCGCGCGGAGCCTCGCCGGGGCCTTGCGGGAGCCGGGCCGGGCCGTAGGGCCGCCGCCGCCGCCCGGGCCCGCCGCCCGCGCCCCCCACGCTGGCCCAAAGGGCTGCGGCCGCGTCGCCGCTGAGGATGTCCCGGAAGGGGCCGCGAGCGGAGGTGTGTGCGGACTGCAGCGCTCCGGGTAAGCGGCGGGGACCGGGCCGGGGGCGGGACCGCACCGCAGGCCGCCGCCGGGCGGGCGCCGGGGCCTGGCGGGAGCGCCGTGCGGGGCCGGAGGGCGGGGCGGGGGCCACTGCGGAGCGGCGTCCTTGGCGGGAGGGCCGGCTGCGGGGGGCGCTGTGCGTTGGAGCCAGTGGACAGGAGGGAACCGCCTCCCACCTCCATCTCGGCATCCAGACGGAAGCGCCCGCCTGGGGTGGCAGGAGGGCCGTGGCGGAGGCCGGCAGGCAGTGGGAGGTGGGCGCTAGTATGGTTTGTGTCATCCCTGCCACCCCCGCGTCTTGCACCTGCTGCTCACATGGTCCGCGTGCCCGCCGGAGCGGTGGAGGGCAAGGGGCCTGGATACGGGTTTCTCGAGAGCACCTGACGGGGGTGGCTACTCTAGGACGCCCAGCCCGATTCCCAAGCCTGGGGCTCCTTGTAGGGCCGGCCCTATGTTCAGGGACGATCTTAAGTATGGGCATCTTCCCCGGAAGCATCTCCAGGCCTGCTGGTGTCTGGGAACAGCCAGACTCAGCTTTTCCTGTTCCGGGTAGGCCTGTTAAAGAAGGTGTGCTAGGTATTGCCTCAGTCCAGACACCGATTCCTCCTGCTCGCTAGCCCATTCTGGATAAGAGAAAGTGGTAATTGCTGCCTAGACTCCCCTTATCCGGCTGGCTCCTGGGCTGACAGGACTTAGACGCTGCTTCCTCCCTTCCTCTCAGCAGAGTTAGGTCTGAACTGTTTGAAAGCCCCCTGGCTTGCTGAGGAAGTGAAGGGAGGGCAGCAACTTAGCAGGCTGGTCCCTTAGTGAGAAGACACAGCCAGTGATGGGACCAGCAGCTGACCAGAGGAAGGAAGCGCTGGCCTTTGCCCATCCTCTGTAAAAGAAACTGGCTTCCCAGATGGGCCCGGGGCCTTCTGAACTCCATGGGGACTGTAGATGTGATTGAGAATGTGGGGTGTTGACTCTCAGTCACCCCTTAGAAGTCCCAAGTGTGAGCCCCACAGGGAGCGATGGTCCCTTGGTTCTTGTGGATAGCTGGCGGGGGCATGAACATGAGACCTCCGTAGGGTGTGAATGTTCTGTAAGTGCCTGGAGGATCTAGTTATGGATAGCTGTCCTGGCGCCTAGTTAGCTGGAGACTCTGACTCCCCTCCCCTGGTCGGAATGGAGGAGCTAGGTGTCTCTCCAGGCTGTTGTGCACCGCTGTGGGATGAGCCTAGGGGACCTAGCAGGTGCCATCAGGGGAGCCTGGGTTCCGGTGCTGCCTTTGTTTCCAACTTTACCCTGTGACCTATGGAAGCACTGTGCTCACTGGGGCCTCAGTTCCCTCAGCTCTAAAGCAAAGAGGGTGGAACAGAAATGGATTTTGAGGGCCCTCCCGTTCCCCAGTCTCCATCTCTGGCTCTGGAGCAGAGCCGCAAAGCTGTATCTTCCGTGTTGTCTGTGACTTATCTGGCTGGAGCCTCTGGGGACCCAGTGGTGCTAGGAGGAATGGGTGTGTTAGATGTTAGGCCGCTGAGCTCATAGCCCCCGGCCTCATCTGACGTAGGCAGGCCTGATCCAGAATGCAGACCAAGCATGTGTGCAGAATGGTGCCAGTCTTACTCGATATCCCACCTTAGTACCTAGTGATTGGCACACAGCAGCCACTCCCCTGTACAAGTGTTGTGTTTGTTAGGACTGCCCTACACCACACTGGCCCTGCCACACAGTGGCATTCTAGATCTGGCCTATAGCTTCCTGGACAAGACAGCCTGAGCATGCCCAGTATTCTCTTCTGTCACGTATATGATATATAGATATGTCATAGATAGATAGATAGCACATGTCTATATATCACATATCCCGTACACTCATACATCCCAGTATATCTCAGGCCCAAAGTCACAGTCACTGTGATAGAACTCTGCTGTTGGCTGGATATGCTGGCTCATGCCTTTAAACCCAGCACTTAGAGTTCTCCAAGCCAGCCAGGGCTGTGTAGTGAGACCATGAGGTAGGGTTATAGCCCTATTATAGTTTATTAACTTGGAGGGTGATAAAGGCGAGATGCTCAGAGACAGGTGTAAATATGTTGCAAGGCATCTGGACACACTGTGGCTGCTGTGATAATGCATGACACCTTACCAGGTGTTGTGCTCCTGCATGCCTTGGGAATCTAGGAAAAGGCCCGAGTCAGGGTGCACTAAGAATGTTGATTATCCCCTTTGCCTCTACCCACTCGACCTCATTGCCTTGGTTCCCATAACGTTGGCCTGGCTCTCAAGCATCCCCTTCTCAACACACAGCCTATACATCAGCCTTTCACTTTGATACACAGGTGTTAAGGGCTCCAGATACCCAGCCTATAGTGACCAGAGCTGACCACCAGCTGGGGAGATGTTACAGGGCATCCTGCAGGCTCATGCAGGACCGGTGGTAGGCTTTGTGTCTTTTTTTCTGAGACAGGAAAATTTTTCTCTGTGCAGCCCTGGAGGTCCTGGAACTACCCCTGTAGACCAGACTGGCCTGTAACTCAGAGATTTGCATGCCTCTTCATCCCGAATGCTGGGATTAAAGGTGTGCGCCAGCAACTTTGCTTCTTTTATTAGGGTACAACCTAAGTACAGCTTAGTGTCTGTCTTTAGTCTTTCTTTCCTTTTTGATTTTGAGACAGGGTCTCACTATAGACCAGGCTGGCCAAGAACACAGAGATCCGCCTGCCTCTTCCTCTCGAGTGCTGGGATTAAAGGCGTGCATTGCAATGCCTGGCTGTTCGTGGGTTTCAGACATGCGTGAGCCTGTGTGGTCATTAAGCTATTCAATGTATAGAACATTTCCATTACCCTCACAGCTGTCACCTGACCACACCCCCAACAGTAACCACCACTTTGACCTCTGTTCCCTTGGATTCCTCTTGCCTGCTTTCTGCATAGCAGATTTTCTTACTTGTTTTCCAAGAGTTTAGCCCTTAGCTTAGAGGGAGGAAGGCCTGAAGCTGGTCTTTATATATAGACCTGCTGGCCCTAGAAGCCACGGGTGGCTTTAGAAGGTGGCATGAACTAACTTTAGAGGCCTTCCTGTGGCTGGCACCAGTGTCCTCTCTGATACCTGGCCACATATACTAACCCTCACCTGCCTGCGGAGCAGCTAGAGGAAGGTGCGGCGTCCTCTAACCCTCACGTGTCCCCTTCTGCCCCAAGTTTGCAAGGAGCTTCTTAAGGCAGAAACCTTCTGTGGCCCTTATGCTTCAGAACTGGCAGAGATGGGGTTTGAATCTGGCTTGGCGGGCCAAGGTCATTTGGACCTAGGGTGCAGGTAGAATTGTTAGGGTGGACTTCCTATGTGTGTCATCCAAAA